CTTCTCTGCAAAGTAATATTAAAAGCTTAATCTCCTACCTTATAATTGTAACAAGAGTATACGTTTTGGAAAAAAAAATATTATTTTGTGTGCATATGCACTTTCAATTCAGGTGTCAAGACTCTTGGACCAGAGAAGTTAAAGCACAGAGGTAGCCATGATTGTTGGAGACTTCTGTATGTTTTTCTGTACTTTGTAGAGGTTCTACCTTTTATGATACCCTGTTTGTTTAATGTATGCTTACAAGCACAATGGATGCTTTTGCAGCTGCATCATCATATTCTAAAAATAGATTTAATTACAAGGCCAGGCATTATCTTCTGTAGGAAGACAGGCATATCAGAGCTCTTGCAGTTGTAGACAAGAGTGATTAGATTTCTTTCTAAGTATGTATGTCAAACAATGCGACAAAGAAGGACTCTGTCCCTCCACATTCTGTTCAAAACATTGAAAGTATTTGCTAGGCTAAACATAAATGTTTCTACTTTTCCCAGATTGCCCCTAGAATCCTGGATGGAGTAATGCAAATTCACTTCTGTAGCTACTATTATATGTTTAAAGCTCTCAATACCCAAGAAAATCTTGAATAGCACTAAAAATAGCACTAAAATGGAGCGGTTCAATGGAGCACCAAGGTAGAGGTGAGCAGGGCAATCTCAGGCACGCATAAGTTGTAAAAGCCGTGAGCTTCTTTATCTTCCACAAAGACATCTCCCTTAAATTTAAATAGCTGCTGTCATTGTCACTGACTACCTGACTATGTATTTATCTGCCCAGAAGCAGAGTGCATGGCCTTTGGCCCTGCTATTCATAGTGTTACTGTCTCTGCCTAACAATGCTGTGAACGGAGCTGGGCTTCTGTTAGCATCTTTTGTTTGATGTGTATTGCTGAAGCTTTGATGTTGTTTGTGAGAAAAATAATGATTAAAAAGAATAAGATCGTCACTCTCCCACTCTGGCTGCTTCCCACCGAGAAATCTAATCTGAGTTGGGAAAAATCTGTGACTGATTCTGTTTTAGGTACACACAAACCGCAGAGTCCAGGAGAGAAATCTGCTAGTGTTGAAACTCTTACTGGAGCATCTCTTTACTGGAGGGTCAGAGAGGTAATTGTTCTTAATGATCAAAATTCTGTTTCCTGTTACAAAAACATGTATGTCCAAATAGGTACAGAATACTTTCTCTGTCTGGTGAGCACAACTGTCAGCGTAGCCACAGTGCTTTATTTTCAGTGGGATGTCTTAGATTTTCTGCTTTAGTTGCATGTGCTTCCCCTTTATAGAATATTCTAACAAAAAAGGGGATGATTACTTCACACTGAAGCTACATTAGGGGACTTGAAATGCTCTACTGTTCAAAAAAAAAAAGCATTTTTCCTTATAAATTATTATTCTAATAAGCTTGTTTCTCATCTCTGCTGATGAACACTTTTCTTGCTGCATTTTTGAATGAAGAGCAAATGTGATGCAGTAAAGCGTAACTAAAACCCCTAAAATCAGAGCTTCAGAGTAAATGGATGGCTGTTCTGCTACTCAAGGCAAAAACTCCACTGTCACATAAAAATACTCTGATCAGTGATCACTACAGTAACAAAAAAGTAAATTCAATAAAATTATAATGTCCCAAGTGTAATAAAAAGCAATGAACAAAAAATTGGGAAGCTTTTATCTTCACAAACCTTTGATCCACTCTGTGAAGGAAACAGATTTGATTACTAAGGTATTTTGAAATTGGAGGTGGCTTGATTTCCACGTTGAGCAGCAGATATGGGATAGAGCAAGGCAGCAGAGCCATGGCTTACCTTGTGCCAAGAGCGGAGTCAGGCTTATAGAGCAAACACAAAAAAAGGCTTGGATTTAGACACTTGGATGTAAGAAATCTAGCTGTGCATAATTACTGGTATTTGGCTTTGGTTTTTTGGTTTTGTTTCGTTTGGTTTTTTTTTTTTATAAACCTATCATTAGATATCTATATTAAGCTTCAAGCTCCACGTTAGCTTATGATGTAGCATGTTTTGTATATCTGACCTTCTTTCTTCTGGGTAGGATACGCATTCAAGGGGCAGTCAAGCAGGATTGGTAATGGAGGTGCACAGATCTTGATGATTTGCTAGTCACTTGTAAACTGTCTCACAAAAAGGGGCCAAACTCAGAAAACAGTTCTAGTCAGGTAAGCAGAAGGATGTGATATGCATTCCCTTAGCTATCTTAAAGAAATGCAGAGAGCAGAGCAGATGCCTAAGGAGGAGTCCCAAAGAATGTTTCAGGATGGAGAAAAAAATAAGGCTAGGAAGGCCATAACTCTCTAAAATGCTCTGCAAAATTTATATGCTGTTTTAAGTATAATGAGGCACTCTGGTACGTAGCCTAGCTCATAAGCTTGGACTGTGGAGAAGATACGGTTTGTTATAGTACTGTCAGTGGCACTGGGGTGGAGTCATACTTCTGGAAATTTGGGCTGTGAAGTTCCTTCTCTATTGCATACTTCAGACATCTGCAGCTGCCAAGAATAGCCTACTTTTGGGAACTACTTTGAGCAAAGAAAATTTCAGGGGGCTGCCTGCCTTTAATGGGAGCTGCCAACATTCCCTGGTTGCTGCGACCATGTCTACCGTGGGGGTGTCAATAACACAGAGCACAGCATCAGGTCCTGCTGCAGCAGCTGCCTTGGTATGGACACACACATTCCCCCCGGAGTTCCCTTCAGGGCTCTGGATGCTGGGATCTGCTAGCAGGGATTCAGGACTTACAATCACTAGCATGGAAAAAACTACACGTGAAAGCTTTGATTTTGTTCTCTATGGTTTAATGTTGTAATTTTGGTATTAAAATGAGTGTCAAATGTTTATTTCAAACATACGGTTTTTATAAGCACGATGCTAGTGAGTTAGATAAGTGCTGCTAAGATTTTACTAATTTGTCAGCTGCCACTCTGCCTCTTTATGTTGCTATTGTAATGATGTAACCCATTCTCTCCCCACATGCAGTCCCTACAACATATTACAATAGTGAGAATTTTAAAGAATACATTTAGAAATGAAAAAAAAAAAAAGAAACCTAGGACTTGGCCGTAGCTGTAGTGTTCAGCCAGCCCTAAATGGAGGATTTACAATGCCTGAATGCACTGCTGATGTGATATGTGTATTGAGGTTTGATTAAGCTGGATATGAAAATTAAAACTTGGCTCCACATTGAAGAGAGAATCTCCCGCAGTGTGATACTATGACATCAAGTTTTCTGTTTACCCCTAAGGCTGGTGCTGCAATGACTTCCAGGTTTGATGGTGTCTCTTTTTTAAGTTGTTGAGCAGCAGGCTAATAGCTGCACAGCATGATGCAAAGACAGCAGAAAGCAGGGAAATCAGATGTGAATATATTCCCCAGAGATCTCCTGCTAAGATGGAGCTAACTAACCAGAGCTTTAGTGCTCCAATGTAGTCTTCTCATGCAGAGGATGGGCTGATTATCAGCTCTTCCTGCTTTATAGTACGTTTTTGGATTACAGATGCTATTACAAATCATGAATTTAGGTATAATATGCATTCTAGTGTAATATGAACTATTATATTGAAAGCAACATCACTTTTCAAGAGTTTCCATCCAAGGTCAGTTCCTCCCTGCCCTGCCCCATCCAAAATGATCTTGGTATTTTAAAAAATACAGGTTTATGTTATTCTTCTGTGCTTGCTTTGCCTTAATTGTTTGAAAGCCATAGCTCTAGTTTATTTAATCATGACAAAGACAGACCTAAGAAAAGGACAGAAACTACTGGGAAAGCAGTAGCCCATCTCGCTGTTTACACAAGCGCATGTCATCCATGTCACACAAGAGGAGTTGCCTTTGATGCTGAGCAACCACTTCATTACTTGCCCCAGTGCCACAAGGTATAGAGGACAGGGGAAGTACGTCAACCTTCTTACCTCATATGCTACTGGCGACATATCTGGTCTATAAGTACTGCCAATTAATTTTTGTTTGTGTGTAGGGAAGCTACAATTCAGGCACAAGTTCATCACTTTAATGGTAACATGGGAGCTGGTACCTGCTTCCCAGCTTTTGGCTTTTATCATCACTGACCTATTCATTACTTGGAGATGTGAGGCAGTTTAGGGTGCAGTGGTAACAGGGAGAACTTGTTGCAGTTCCCCAAAAATGCCTGGTGAGAACATCCCCATGTTTTCTCAGGTATCAATGACCAAAGTGGCAGTCTTTAGTGGCATAAGGTGGTCTGTGTGGTTTCAGTGAGTAGGAGGAAGACTGCCTTACAGTTATTGATGGTTAAGTTTCTATAGTCTTATTTTCCATTTATCGTCCTACTCATGTAGTTCTGCTCTCTATACAGGTAAGAGAGAAGTTGTTAAAATGGTGAAGCTTATGTTACATGAGTCAAATTCTGAAGCTGGTTTAATCAAAAAAAAGAAAGAAACATTATTCTGGTCACTTATAGCCTTAATAGAGTAGTACTTGAATACTTATATGCCTTATACCAAGCACCCATGCAGTCTGTGTAGAAGCATGATTAAAAGAGTAAACTCCAAGTTAAACAGCACACAGGTTAAACTGCAAATCGTTTTTCACTGACCTTAAAGGCTTGGCCTAGAGTGCCCCTTAACAGTTTGGAAAGGAGCCAGGAGGGAGTGCAAAGACTCAGCCTTGAGCTTCCCTTTGGGTCACAGATATTCAGACAGGTTCGACAGCAGCCCCTAACGAAGCTGTCCCTCAGGCACCTCTCTGCAGAACACCTTGCCATGATCAGTTTGTCTCAAACATAATAAACAGTTGCCCTATCAGCTTGTATAGCTTAGAGAGGAATTATGTTTACAGATATTACCATCTTCAGGGAATCTGAGGATTTCTGCATAGAATTCAGACTTTTGGTAAAATCAAACAAAAGATAAGAGTTCAAACAGCCTTCAAGGCTGCACTGTAAGCGAGCTCTTTTTCCCTAGAGAGGCAAGAACAATCTTCTCTGGACTTTACAAGAGCAGTAAGTAAAAATTACCTCATACAATGGCATGCAGATGCTATCAATCCACTCGAGCTGCAACCTGGGTAGTTCATCTTTCCTGTTCCGATCAAAAATGGCCTGAATTGAGAAGGGAACAAAACTGTCATGCTTTATTACGATGGAGTATTTTACAGACACATCATTCAGCACTTCAGACCTATGATCAAATTCTCACAACCAGAATACTTTGTCAACCATAATCAATCTTTGCAGCAGTCTTTCTGTTGCTTTGTCTGGCATGAAAAACAAACTGTTTATTTTCAATTCTGTTTTGAAATTTTTAGGCTTAATGTATTTAAATTTTGTAATTCTGTGATGTAAAATAAATGCTCCACAGTTGGAGTGAACTGGTAAGAAACCTCCTGTAGAAATGCAAGCTAGGTACCTTTGAGTAGAAATTTCCCTTTTCTCACATAGGGTTTTCCAGCTCACCAAAATGAACAATGATAGATCTAGGCAGGCTCCCTCCCTCCCAGTTACAGACCCTTTCTACAGAACCAGCCACGTCAATGAATCCAAAGGGTGGGGAATCAATAGATCCGCTTTGGGAACAGTTATTAATTTGTTCCCCTGGAAACAGCCAAATTCATGGCTCATGGCACTCCCCCAGAGAGGAAATTATAGAGGTTGAAGCTGATGTTTAAGAGGCTCAATTATTGGCTGAAAGGAGATGGAAGAAACTGAGTCAGAAGAGGTTGAATGTGATTTGAGTTTCCTCCATACCCTGCCTGAGATTGCTTGGGTCCATCAGCTTTCCATCCAAAGGATTTTGATCCACCTGCTAGGGTCCTATTCATACCATTTACCAATTATTATTTTTTTTTTACTCTCTGAATATGCCAAGTTTTAAGCCTTTCTGTCTTTTTCTGTGGAAAGCCTGTTCTTATTTTGGGCTCATCTCAAGGTTGATGTCTCCTCAGAAAACTTACTTTTCTTTTGCACCTTCTAGGAACTCCAGACTGTACGTATTACATTACATTTAATATCTGGTTGAATCTTTCTAGCTGTACCCTGCTCTTTATGACATACACAGGTATCACATGGTGTATTCTAAATAAGACCAGGAGATAAGATTCAAGGACTTGGTGATCTTAAATGAGAATCTTGGGTTTGATTTTGGAGAAGGCTGTATTTCCTATTCAAATTATTTTGAAAAATCCTGTCATTTTCATATTGGTATAAGCACAATACAAGAAAAGAAATCCTTGAGTTGTAAGAGATGAGAATATCACAACATTTGGCCGACAACTCTCTTATCTAACCAGAAGCAATACCTTTCTAGGTGGTTTCTCATAGAGATATGTCATGAAATACATCAGCATTTGATCTTGTTTAAAAATTTCTCATGAATGTGGTAAAACTCTACATGATTTTGACCCTTAGCCATCAACTGTTAGAACTGATAAATTTTGTAATTATTTACTGGCGTTATCTCCCAACATAAGACACTTAATACATCAGTTTACTGGATTTTTTGACATTGTGAAGGGCCAACGAGAGAGGAGAAAATCTTCCTTCAAGCTGTATAGCTTCAAAGCATCCTACACGTGGCCCACAAATTACTGTAGTCCTTGGTGCAGACTGTAGGGCCCAAAGAAAAAGCGAGAGGGCTCCTATGATGGCGGAAATACTGAAAATATTTATAGTCATACACTCTTCTTTCCCACCTGTCTAGGCTATTTAGATGCAGATTTTCAGAAGAAAGCTCTGGCTTTTGTCTTTCTCTGTACTTCTATCAAGTCTACAGTACTTTAAAATAATTCTTAAGTTTGTTTTACCTGGGCTATTTGCACTGGAATTCATTGCTACTTGACGACAATAACATTAATGGGTGTGTTGAAACAAAATTATTTCCTATTATGCTTCATTAGCATAAGAAACACACTTTGCAAATTTTATATAAAAGGCAGGAAAGGCTCTTACATCCGTGTTACGGAGAATGGTACTTGCAGTCATCCAGGTCTAGATTTGGTCTCCGAATTGCAAGTACCATGACTGACTGATCACTCTTCTTCTGGACTATAGCTACCTTTTTTCCTGAGAAGATGTAGACACAGAACTACTATAGGCAAAAAATCCATTAATGTCCCAATCTCTGACAGTATACAAAGTGAAAAGCCATTTATTGTAACTGAGCATTATTTACTACCAACTTTTTAACTTTATTGGCTTCATTACTTCACCACAGGCTTGTGTGTGAGTATTAGCGAAGTAAGAACAAGTCTGAGCCAATGGAATGGTCTTTTTATTTTTGGAAGCATAAACATATTTGTGAATGGCTTGTAAGTTAAATTATTTAGAATAATTTGTTACCCTTCTCCTGTTCCCTCCAGGTAATGGCTTGACAACATTTTAAGGCATCTAACCTGGTTAAGGCTTTCTCTTCAAATTGTTCAGTGAAAATCTTCATGGAACTTTTTTCTTTGACACTTTATGCCCATCTGCCTCTATTCCACTTAATACCAATTTATCCTTTCAAGCACAATGTTATATTTAGTTGCATACCTATAGAAATGCTTTTCAGCATTTGATACATCAAGTAACACAGACAGATAGCTGCAACATAAAGTAAATCTGACAATTATGACTTCCATAAAGGGCTGGTGATTTTTTATTTGAATACTATGTATTACAAACACCACCTGTTGCTTAGAAAATTAACTGAGAGAATAACCTGGGCAATAGGCACAGAAAATGGGGAAAAGAGCTCAATGCAAAAGTGACGGAGTTGGCCAGAGAGCTTTTACATATGGCTCTAAATGCAATCTAAATTGGACAAAGCTTTGATCTATTCCAAGATTTTTCTTTATATACAAAATACAGTTAGCTTTTTCTGAATTAAACCGATGGTATTTTCTTACCCTATTCAAGTTAATAATTATTTCAGAAGTGATAAAAACTTACCGAAGGGATGAGTTTGAGTTCAGATCTTTCTCTGTCTCCTTGTTCAAAGAACTCACTGGTTACCAGCTCAGCTGCCTAAAACATAAATCATGATAAAGATTAGAGTTCTTGCTACATCATTTTTAGGGTAACGAGTTCTTTTTCAGACCATGACTTCTGCCTGTGCTTAACTCTAAAGAAGGGAGTAGTTCTGCTTACATGAGTGATGTCAGGCACTTGTTAATGTAGTTTTCAGGACTGAGCATAAGCATACGGTTATAAATAGCCGTAACCACTGATAGGCACACTTATCCCTTTGTGATAGGGAATTGACTGGGGTAATGACATTGCAATGTTGAGGTAGCACTCAATGCAGTTATATGCAGCTTACTCGAGTATTGAGAACAGAATAACAAATAATAACTTCTTGTGGGCATCCATAATTCCGTCTGTAAAATGTACAAGAGCTCTCTGGGTATTTAGAGGCTGTTGCCCTATATAAACAACTTCACCTACCAAAGAAACTTACTTAACGTATAACTTCTGTTGTCTTAATTTAATGTGAAAGATAAAGGGCTTTTTTTCCTCATTAGACTTTACTTTTTTCCCATGACTGTCATCACTACAGGATCTAAATATGAATTCAGACTGTGATTATTACAGTGAATCACAATCAAGAACTGGTGGGTTGGAAGTTGGAATGTGTCTTTTTGACTTCTGTGAATGAAGATATTCTATTCACAACACAGTTCTGTGCTTCTCAAAGAACACAAGATTTGGAAACAAAACCAGTTATGGAAATAACAGGAATTTTAGGAAGTTAAATACTGAGCAATCCTGACATAATAGCCTTTACATACTGTACTCTTATCATGTGTGAGGCTTAGAAGGTCGGCATACGTGACACTTGAGGGTCAAATAAAGGAAACTAATCTATTGAAGATGTCATTCAGTTCCTAAAGCTCCTGTCATGCCTGTTAGTGTTTTCAAGCTAGAAAATGATTTCATAATGCCAAGGCAGAAGAGGGTAAACTATACAGAGAACCTGCACTTCATAAAATATCAACATTTCTTGCTTTAGCAACTGCATGGTAGCTAACATTCACAAATCCTAAGCTTGTTACAGTTGAAATAAGGAGTACCAAAATAAATTGGAAGTAGGTGAATTGATGTTATAAAGTACTCTTAAATCTTGAGCCAGGCTATCACACAGTTTGGAACTTTATAATGTATGTAATCCCAGTGCACTAATAAAATTCTAGATCAATACTTCAGATAGAGGAATAATTTAACAACTTAGCAGCAATTAAGGGTTTGCCAAGTATATTGTACAAAAATAACCAAGACATAGTCCCACCTGTCTCTCAATGCTATTCTGTTCCTGTTCTCCTTGTGTTCCTTTCCCTCTTCTTTTGTCTATCTTCTCTTCCTGAATTTTGCCTTCTTACGTGTAGCCTTTATTCCCTTTGATTCATATATTTTAATGTCTTTCTCTCTCACTTTTCATGTTTTTTTCTCCCTTCAGCATAGTTGAGGTCCAGCTATTTCCTGTTTTCCCTCTGTAGACTTATTAGCCTCTCTGCTCAACCAGGTAATGTTTTGATCAATCCTAGACTGGATTTTTCAATATAAAGTAAACCTGTACACTAGGCTGGCAGGGGAATTTTCACCCACAGACCTCAAAAATGATAAGGATGTAAAACAGTTTGCCAGAGACTTCAGCGCTAATTCAGGACAAAGATTGACAACATGGAAAACAGACCCTACCTGACATTTTGGCTGTCAGAGAAAATGGAGAAGCTAACGGGGTTAAAGAGAAAAAATGAGGAGGGATTGCACAGGCTGCACTGGTGGCTAGGTGGCACTGAAAAATCTTGTGACTCATTTTCCCACTGCAGGATTTGAGCAACTTCCCATGATTTCCATGTGAGGTGACCATATTCTGGCCAAGTAAGAGTAGCAGCCTTAGAAGGACTATTGTCATAGTTTGCTTATAAAAGCAAAAAAAGACTCATCTGACAAAACTGCAAGCTGAGCTGAAGCCCTCACCACATAAGTGCTTTTTTACTGAGTTATTGGGCACATAACTTATAGGTCCCTTTCAGCTTCTGTTACTTCTTTGTCCTTCTCCAAGATATCTGGCTGCTCCTGACTCACTAGCTCTCTGGTCTAGCTTCTCTTTTTCACCCCATCTTTTTAACGATCACTTCGTTGTTAAGCCAATCAAACTCCCTCCAGGTGCTTAGCTACACTCAGCTGCACGCATACTGGAAATGTTAAGGATGGATGCTGAGTAAGGAAAGATGCCTAGAAGAGGGAAAATTATATGGTAAAGGACAAGACTTTTGAGACAGGTTGCTTTCTCACATTGTAATTGTTTGTCAATGCTGGACTCAAGTTTTATGTATATTTCTAAAGAGCCTTCTCAGCAGCAGAAGCTTGAATTTTTACTTGTTTGTTTCTAAATACAGGATGCTAAAAAAGGCATGCTAAAAATTTTTTTCATCAGTGTTGAGAAAATGAACACGTTTCTTTTATCATATGTACTGAATATTTTTTGTTAATCAAAGTCAGTAGAACATCACTGGTATTTTTGATTCAGGGAAGATTCTGCTACCGCCAAGGAAAACTTTGGGACAAAACAAGTAAGGGCAGCTATATGTGAATAACGCTTTTTTTGTTTAATCCATCCATTTTCTTAATACGGATTTAAAAGGTTAATAAGAGGAGAAGTTGTAACGCCAGATCTCTTCAGGTATCTACATGCTGCTCGCCAGCATGCGTACATGGAAAGATTATGCAATAAACCATTTCTTGCAGAAACCCCCTGCTATTTTTTTATAGCATTAATACCACTGTAAATTGATTCCAGTTTTGGTTCCTTGTAAGCCAGGGTCCTGGGAATATTGTCCCGCCAGTCCCGCCTCCTCTTAGCCCTGCTATTAATCATGACTTGCCTGTCTTGAAATCTCCCACGGTTTGGTCACAGCTCCAAGGTCACAGGCTGTCATTAGCATTGATCTGAAAAACAGAAATGAACAATACAAGCTGAATCAACCTTTGTTGGATTTCTAAACAACTCTGCTCTGGATGCATAAATAAATAACACATATATAAAATGTCAGCCCTGGCACCTTCTTTTCCTCCAGAAAAGAATGACATGTTTGAAATCTCAGCCATCAGCGTGGCTTTTACATCACAATTGTGCCTAGGAAGCCTAATGCATTGCAGGTCATCAGACAATGAATTTTGTTATCGTGCATTACACACTAGAAAAGAAATTATATTGCAAGGGAGTAACTGCTAATTTTGCAATATTTGTAACACTACTTACATTAATACCTATAATATACTAGAAAGCATGTGCTTCCCATGATGTAAGTAAGGGTATTATTGCATAATAACACTTGCAAACCGGATTAATTTATATGCCTATTTGTAAGTGACTGCTATAGCAAGAGAACCTATAACCACAGGAGGCATCCCAGACACTGTTTAAGCAGTTTCTACTGCTCATCTACAATAAAAATTTAAGATTTACTACGAGCTATACTGTTCCACTGTAGTTTAATACCTAGCTACAACCATGTTTTATATGCATTAGGAGAAAGAAACCATTCAGCTGTAGAAAGCGTTTATGTACAGTACATGATGCAGATAAAAGTCTAAGAAAGTTTAAATGAAGAACAAGGGCACTGAAAATGAAGCATCAAATATATTGCCTGAATCTAAAATTAGGAATGGGTGAAATGATATGGAAAATAGAAAATGGCCAATATTTTGGTCAAAAGACCAAAAGGAAACAGAATTTTAATGAAATTTCAGATAAAATGAGACATAATCAGGCATGCATAGGCAAATGTATACATTTTATTGTCTCAAAAGCATGATGTACTCAAACCACCCACAATGTCTGAGGTTTTCAATAGGATTCATGCGTAGATCATTCCTGAGGGCTAGAAGAGCACCGTGTATCTGCAAATCCCCAGGTACAGACTAGAAGAGCAGAGGGAAGCATGGCCAGTGAAAGGAGGGAACAGGGAAATGGACAAGAAAGATCTTTGTGTCCTGAGGCAGAATACTGATGCTTTCTGGAGAAAGAGCGGAAGGGCTGAGTGGTAACGGGTGAGGCTGGGAGGAAGGGAAGAAAACATGACAGAGTCTGAAGGCAGAAATAGGAATGGAGAAGGTGAGGTCAGAGTGATCACGTCCCTGCTTTTTGGTAATATTTAGAAATCATACCATATATTTCATATCATGGATCATATTATTAAAACAAGCTACTTCCTCTTGCTACTCTTCACTCCATGATATATGAAACAAATATGGCTACACTTTGAAATAACCAGAAAGCAAGAAATAGTAGTGCTCACCGAAATATTTCTCGGTGGTTTTTTATATTCCAATCATAACCACCTTTACTGACAAGTTCAAAAAATTCGGTCCTTCTCCTGAAACGAAACAGAATATCAGAGAAGGAAACAAGACACTTCCAGGGCTGCCCTGCAGTAGAAAAACAGTTCTCTGGATGATATGAAATCACTGCACCTCATGTATTATTGTTAAAATCATTATACTGACAGTCCATTTAAGCGAAACATACTAATTTCTGAACATGTTCTATAAATGTCTGTTATCAATGTCAAAGTTGCCTAGTAAAAGCAATGTAGTATTTATGGTCTCCACAGATAAGGAAATAAATGGTACCAAAATGTTCAGTCTTCCATGGAAGCATGAAATGTTCAACTACAGCAGTTGACAGACAATAGAAACACCCCTGAAATATATACACACTTCTCTTTACTTGTCCTTGCAAAATGTTTTTTCCTTCTGTATCCTGAAGGGTTTTTCCAGAGATGTGCAGTTCCTGTTATTCCCAGCACATAGAACAGAACAGTGAGACACAGGAGCTGCAGATGTCTCGAGTTAGTAGTTCTTATTGACTAGAAACCAGGTTTCCCTGCTTGGTCCCATGCTTTGTCTTCTGGAATATCTTGCCTATGTCCTCAAAGATGGACAAAACATGAGCCAGAACATTTGAATGCCTGTTTGGTGTCTTTAAGTACCAACGTTCTGACTCATCAGAGTCTGTAATTTTTTTATTGCATTGAGACTCCAAGTGGCTCCTATTGCACGCAGCGTGAATACAATATGAAACAGATCCTGCCCCAGATATAGAGGAAGTTGAGGTATAAAAATATGGAGCAACTTGCCCAGAGTGACACAACATATTAGCATCAAAGCTGGGAAACAAATACCTACGTTCTGAGTGGCAGCCTAGTGCCCCATCTCAGAGGAGACTTTTGTCACGTGGAAATGTAGTTAGATTCCCCAACAGGAGATATGTTGCAAAGTCTTGTATGTACTACATGTACTTCACCTAGACTGAAATTTTGAACAGCAGTCATTGAAAGCATGGTCTGACGGGAGCCAGTACAGGTTTTACACAGGAGGAGATGCACAGTGCCAGGAACATTGCCCTGGATCAATGGACAGAACTGTACATAAAGCATGTTGTATTATTCTGGTCCCTAACTGTCATGTGTAATGGGACTGAGTCACTCCTACTACAAGGCCTTTCTATAACGGATTTCATGACAGCAACTAGAACAGGGAGATAGAAAGACTACGTGATGACATCTAATCCCTTATGTTTTGTGAAATAAGATATAAGAGAGTTTCACTTTACAAAATTTGCTGGGAAAATGCAAAGTCATACATGCAGAAAACAAAATTCAGTTCTCTCACACAAAGTCACAGCATCATGGCCCCAGTGAACATAAATATTGCAGCAATTAAAATTTTAATGGCCAAGACTAGTTGGCACATAACCGTAGGCCAGTCTACTCCTGAACAGATCAACAATTACATACTCTATTAAGAGAGTGAACAGAGGATTTTTGCATCCTGTATTTCAGTGCCCAGTCTAACAATGTAAAATTTGGCAATGATTTCATTTAGAAGAACTGAATATTCTGGGGAATTTATATGGTACTAGGCAAAAAACAGGCAAAAATGTTTAAAGCTGAAAGCTCAGGAAAAGGGCATCCCAGAAATGTCAAACATTCAAATCTAAAATATAGACATCATAAGCAGTGACTGAAAATGTGAGTTGTGTTAAGCTGAAAACTTTAAAATAAGAGATTTCTTTGGAATCCGTTTAAATGGATGCAGAAGTAGCAGTTCAACTCCACAGAGAATTTCTAGTGAAGGAAAGAGTCAACCTGAGGAAAGCAGCCACAATAGGTTGTTTATGCACAGTATCCAAAATGAACAGATTTGCTATGATTAACCAAACATAACATGCCCGAATTTCAGAAATAAAGACGATAACAATTTTCTATGTCTTTGAGTAACATTGATTCTGGTTGTATTTTGCCTGGAAGGGAATGTTGTCTTGCCGTATATAGCAAACCCAGTTGCTCTACAGCCCAGTGGCTCAAGACATTATTTGACTGAATTTCCATAAACTTCATTTTGCTTCCATGCTTTTGGCTGTTGTATGATCTACAAGGATCATTATCTAGAATTATCCACTAGAATCAAGTATATTTTCCATTTGATCTTCCACCGAAAGGCATCTTTTCGTTTATAGAAAAGTAGTGCTTTGAGAAGGTCATAAAGCCTTGCGCTGCCTGTTGCTGTTTTGCTGGTTAGACTTTAAGATCATTACGTTTAGGCTTTCTAAGAATAGTGATATGAGAATTTCCTTTCCTACAAAAATATTGAAGGTGTAGCAAACTGAAAAAACAAGTTAGGTACACGTGCAGAAACATCTGTTCACAGAGAGTGGCTTTAAGAAGTGTAAATCATCAACATTTCCAGGGAGTGATTTTCAGGCACTTTTGGAAGTAAAGTAGCATAACAACTACCCGATTAATGAATCATAATAACACAAGAGGAAAAGATAACTTATTTACAGGATTCTGAGTAAAAAGGCCTGTCCTGGTTTCAGCTGGGATAGATTTAATTTTCTTTTGAGGAGCTGCTGCTGCTGTATTTTTGAATTTAGTATGAGAATAATGTTGATAACGCATATTGTTTTAGTTGTTGCTAAGTAATGCATAGAGGCTGAGAGGAAGCATAGACAGGACAAGCTGGCAAAAAGAATATTCTATACCATAGACATCATGCTCAGCATATAGGTGGGGGTTGGCCTGGGGACAGGAATCCACAATCGCTGCTCAGGATGGGCTGGGCAATCGATCATTGGGTGGGGAGTGACTTGTGTTGTATCACTTTATTTTGTATATTTTACCACTTCCCTCCCCCTTCCATTACTGTTCGATTAATCTGTCTTGACCTCAAGCCATGAGTTTTTTTTCCTTTTCCTCCTCTTGTCTCTTCTGGGGGATGGGGAGGGCAGGCAGTGCATGAACAGCTGCGTGCTAAAAGTTTTCTGATTTGTGTCAGATATAAGAATCAATTATGCAAGGAAGAATAATCTTGAAATCCAGCTGATGTCCCTTTTTGGTCATTATTTCTCTGTATTAAAACTAGAAAGACAACTTGACCGTGCAGTTTTTCAAACTAAGGCGGGCAGGGAAGAGAGCTCCATCAGGTCTGGGTCAGGACTGGGTTTTCTCCCAGGGCACTGCTACAGGCCCTCTACAGCTCTTCCAGGGGCTGGAGGATCCTGGCCAGGGGGAGCAGATGGGGCTGTGTCAGGGCAGCTGCCCCCTCAGCCCCTGCCTCTCCTCTTTTCCTTGACAGCACAAAACATTTCTCCAGCAGTTGTTATTTGTGGTGAGACAGGAGAACGCATAGTGATACATCCCTGTGGTCCTTGTATCTCACTTAAAGCTGTCAGCAAATTCCCCTGTTATACCAGCCCCCCAGATAACAAGTGATCCTAACAGACAGCTTCAAAAAGAGATGCTTAAAAGGGCTTATTTGTCTTGCTCAGGATTTTCATGTCAGCAAGCAGAAATGTCTTAATGGACTAGTGTTTAGAAGTTATTTATAATAAAATTATTCACCGAAATCCTTTCTTAATACAACTTCTCTGAGAACAGACTTGCAAGATAAAACCAAATATCTATGTGTCTACTGCCAGTACTATTTAGAAACAGCCCTTGGCACAGTAACCAAATACTGAGAAAAAAAGACAAAGCAAATATTATAACATCCTAATTAGTATTTTTACAATTAAAAATTAAAGATACAATGTTGATAAAGATAGTTGAACAATTTCAAGTTAAAGACTGCCTGAAGTTTTCTGGAAACTTGTTTTGGTATCACCCATCAGCACAAAGGAGGGGTGGAATCCAGGTATACCACCCTGAGAAAGCCATTACTAACTGCTACACAGCACTGTATGGGATGGTATGCTAATGGACATCAAACAAAAATTCCTAAGGATTAATTATTGTCAAGACTGGGAAGGTAGCACCCTGAAACTGCACATCCAACAGCACTTCTCCATGTCAGTCAGCCACAGGCGTGTGCCAGAGAGGGGGATGTCAAAGTGCAATGTGATGGTGACACCACAGCTCCTCTGGCTACCTGCCTGCTCCCACACATTCCCACTGGGAAGAGCTTGGTAATAATTAGCAATATTTGAAAAACATAACATAGCACCAACTTGAAGTCTACTTAGGGATTTGATTTGCAAACAAGGCAAAGGAAGAAAATTGGATGAGATCCTATTATACATCTCTCGAGTTAAGCTTTTTAAGACCTATTCTCATGTGATGCAAATTGGCATAATTTGTCTTTAAAGCAGCAATGTGCATGCTTTCTTTACTTCTGCAACTGGATCTGTAACTAAAGATAATATTTCTTACAAACTCTGAAATGGTGGCAAAGAATTCTAAAATGTCAGTGGTTTTCTACATGCCTGAAGAAACGATCACAGACGGGACAGAAAAATTACAGGACTGAGCTGTAAATGATTCCTGGGATTGCTTTGAAGTATAAGCCTAGGACTTCACTTGCTTTTTGTTGATACAGACATGTTACACATTAAAGCAAAACTTACTTGGACACTTGAGATATTTCTATTAGCCTAAGATATACACTGAGTATTAGACTAAATCTTTTCAACCACAGCTAAACACTGATTTCTCATATTATATATCCTTATTGGTATTTAATAGGTCATTAGAGTAAGTTCTTCGAATTTTCATTTGTCAAATACAAGAAATGCCAATACTTACTCAAAATACAGAGTGAGGTCTGTTGCCAATATCGATTGCTTTAGAAGCTGCATAAGGTCACTGTAGTCCTTAGAGGACAAGTTAGCAAAGATGTTGTGACCCTATAATGAAAGAGATAAAAGAGGTAAAGGGCTAGCAATCAATATAGGCTTTTAAAAGGTTTTCTAACTCTTTAGTCTACTGTTTCCCTGTAGCAGAGGCCTTTTCTGATTCATTGCAAAACTACGACAAAATAATAATGTTAATACTGCTGAGATTACATTGGGGTGGAAGAGTTGACGATTGTAATCAAGCACCCGAGATGTTTTTCTAAACTCTGCTGAAATTACAGCCTCTTGAGGAAAGATTTACTCTTTGCTTTGACCCTGCACAGACTCAGTTTATGGGTAAAAACTATGGATACATCTCAATCTTTCCGCTTATTAAATGTTTTGGGACCTGTGCATTGCAGCTTTTGAGTTGTGCTCCTAATAGATTTATCTGTGCTGCTGCTTGCTGGCACACAAACTGCTGCTAGAGCAGTCAAAGACACTAAATCAGTTTTTCATTCAAAACAGCCCATTTACTCACTCTGCCCATTAGAGCCTTGTCTTACAGTGTATATAAGCATTCCCTCTGCAGGCTAAAGAACTGCAACTTTATGCAGTTCAAAAGCCCTTTGTAGGCCAAATAGGCTACTTTTTAAGCAATCAGGGATTAAGAATGAAAGGTGCTCTGGGGTCAGAACGAAAGGAAACAAATTATTCAACATTGATATTTCAGAGCAGGAAGGTCCTTTGGTAACTGAATTGCTGCAAACTAAAGGGGACAGAGATCCTATAATTTCTCTAGAAATCCTAGAGCAAACAGCTGAAAAAGAAAATTAATGGAAAATTCTAAATATAAGCTTAAAAACCGGTGTTTGTGACATTAGTCACATATACCTAAATTAACATAAATAGAAGTACCACACTTTTTTTTTTCTAATCATCTATAGAAATAATGAGGTTGTTAAATGGAGTCTTATTTTGGTGGTATTTAGCACTGCAACGCACACATTCAGTATGCACTGCCATCTACTGCTTAGGAAGATTAAAATGCCCTTAAAACCAAGAATCTTCCAGCAACAGGACTGCTATTGAGGACATAGATGAGAGAAGATTTGGAGGTAGAGATGATATTTTTTAATAGATCAGCTAATTGTTGGTCTAAAAAAATAACTTGCCATGCATAAAAGATAGTATTAATTTTGACAATGAAATGGTTATTTCTTTTTGAGAAGGATTTGAGAATCTAAAGCTTATTTATGAAAAACAATTTTAAAAACAAAGTACTCAGAAGAAAATAAAGCAAAATCTATCAGTAAAACAGCAGCTCTTACAACAGGGGTAATTTACCAAGTTGTCTGATATTCTATAATTTCTGTTGCCTTTCTGACCTGTTTCATGGTGCATAAAACCATACCACTACAAAGCTGAAGATCACTTATACTGAGGTTAGCATGTCAAGAGTAAAGGATACATAGCTCCTTTGTCCAACAAGACAAAAATCTAAAGAAACCATGCAATATACTATGCTCTATTCTAGATAGCAAAACCAGACTAGAATACCAACTTAGTGGACAGGATATAATCTAATTTCAGCTTATTTGAGAGAAGAGACCAACTGCTCAGCTGGTCAAAGTTGGTGTATCTTTAAGTAGATCAGAGGATTCAAATCTGCATTTATTTCAAATTAAGGGGTGTTGTGTTCCATTAGCAAACAGTATCTATTAGATAAAAATCCTGTAGGATTCATTTTCTGGTCTAGAATTGGGGACTTGGAGAAGCAGCTTTCTGAATGATCAAAAAGGAGGACTTGCATTTCAAGTAATATTTTACATCTCTGAAAGAAGCTGGAGTAGATTCCAAAGAAAAAGTTTTTTTTTCATAAATTTATTGATTTTTAAGCTGGAAAAGATTAAAAAAAGCATCTAGGCTGACATGAACTATAAAATTCCACAGAATTGTTCATGCCTTGAGTCTGTCTTCAGAGAAACATTAAGTTATGATGAGAAATCACTGTTTCCCAGGAAAGCTTGTTCCAGAGTTTTAACAGTCTCATTGGTTTAGAAAAAACAAAATCCCCTTCCTTTTTTCCTATTCTGAACCAGTCTAACTTTCAAATTCTGCTTTTACTTATACCTTTTTCCTTAGTAACACAAGGAGCTATTTTATTCCTAGTATCACCTTTTAGATAAACTAGGCTAAGCAGATGGAGATGTTTAAATCTCATGCTGGTGCTCTCCTTTCCTATGTGTACTTTCTAAATATAATGTCCAGAAACTGAGCACTGAAGCCACAGTCCCATGGCTAATCTCTGTGGCACTGTACACAGCGGTAAAGTCATTACCCTGTTCCCACTTGTCTCTGATCATGGGATATTCCCAGATGCTCTTCAAATGTTACTGCAGATCAACACATCGTCTCCAGTTGTGCTGCATTAACAACATTTTTGTTTTTATATATACTGAATGCATTTCGCAACACCCTATCTGTGTAAATTAAGAAAATACATTCATTGTTTTCTAAGGATTGCATGTCCCCTCCTTCTACTTTTCTCACTTACTACATCTCTGGGGTAGTGCCTGATGCACACTGTCGCACATAAGATATTTATGCAAGAACTATGTCTTTAAATGTATCTGCAAAGCAGCTAGTGTATTTTGGACAGCACAATATTACTGATAGTATTTTTTAAAAAATAATTTAGAAAAATTATGCAAAGCCATCATAAAAACACTGAAAAGAAATTAAATTGGTCCAGGATGACTGTGATACTCTGAACATAACACCTGTGGGGAAAGGTAAGGGAGCTTTCTTCTCCTACCTATAAACCACTGAGCAGGATATATGTAAGACAGCTGAGGAAAGCTGACAATATGACTAGGATACGTTCTCCTTGCCCTTAGCTGATTGAGACAAATATAATCTCTGGGCTCTATGATCAGCATTTGTAGTTGTTTAATTTTGTGCTAGTTGTGACCTTTGTGGTAACCAATAAATAATTCCTCAAGGAGAGGAGGAAGGCATTGAAAAGGTACTGTGTGTGGTATTTCCTTTCTCCAGCTGAAACTGCCCAACAATTTACAGTGAGATTAATAGTAATGCTTTTGTACCTCACTTTGGAGAATCATGACAGCATGATTGAAATGGTGGTGCTCCAAGGTAGCAGAGGTGCCATAGAGCTGAGCTAACGCTGATCCGCTCCTGAAACAGAACATGGGGAATCAACAAATACTGCTCGTTTGCTAACGAAGCAAGTTTCAGAGACAATTTAGTAATGAAAGCATGTAGCCACGCTCCCCCTCTCCATTTCACCAACCACATTCGAGATATCTGACACCATCAAAATAGAAATTTAAAGCCATTTATGTTCCAGACCTTGCTAAATATCATCAGCTGACTAAAGATTTTCCTTGAACTACATGAAATTTTGTAATGTAACTCTTAAAGTGCCTGAATGATGCAATAGCACAGGGACACCACTGTGTGCCGTAAAGACAAACAGTAACGTCCTTGAGCTAGGAGCAGCTGTTCTCCTACTACTGTTTGGGTTTTTTTTATAATTCTTAATAGATATAACCACAATGGCTTACAAAAGGTGATTACAAACTCTTTAAACAAACAAACAAACAAACAAGAAACCACAAAAAACCCCAAACCAACCCAAATCCACAACGACAAAAAACCTGAAAACTCATTGAGGTTCTGTCTGTATGTAAAACAATGCATGCAAAAAAATAGTTAAGGTAAACAAAAAAACATAATTGAAAGTAGTAAATGTAAAAGTAAAGTTTAATATGTCCTTAGAATGTATTTCCTCATCATGTTTATTGTCGAAAACAAATTTGCTTCAAACTCCCCAGAGCAGGTGAGTTGTTAAGTCTAAAGAACAAAAATCTGCGGAATACAATTATAAAGTTGCAAATTGTTGGGAGGTGCAGAGAATGGTACTGGATTGTCAGAATAGTTACTGTTCAACATTACTTCACTTCTGGGACCCTGCCTAGAGCGACAAGATGGATCTTCTTTCCAAAGAGATGAGAATAAGAGATTTTGCTAGAGACAAACAAAAAGAGTCTCGTAGGAGCATATACCATAAAACTGCACCATACTGATATTTAATTATCAGAAGCAGGTATATTAGAGAGAAGGATGTCCGGGAAACACCATCCCTAGAGAATGTAATGTTGAGATATATAACAGAGCCATTTCAGACAACTGTGATATTGCCTCCATCATATACCTCTTGAACTTTCATCACACAGAAAAGCAGTATTGAACACTGGAGATAAAATAGGGAAATGCGATGCTTAAATTTGTAAGTCAGGTTAGAGGAATAAATCATAGCTGCTGTTATGAAAACTACAGCTTCTGTTTTCAGGGATGTTTTATACATGCGTGGTAATGTTTGTCTTTTGTTAAATGTCTTCAGCAATTTCTTTATGGGGTCGTAAAATGGTAGCCTCCTCTTTGTACTCCGTTGTCAAACAACAAGTATAAGTGATAGCAGTCTAATGCTGAAACCACTGCCTTTAACTCAGCCATCCCTCTGCCTAAAGCAGTCAGGATGTAAATCTTAGGTCTCCTTTTTGTAAATTAGGAAGATAAACATCAATCAGCTGAGCTTCCTTCTCATTTGTCTCCTCTTTTTTGATTCTCTTCAGGACTCAGCTGCAAAAAGGCACCTAGAAGTGCTTGGTAACCTTTGCACCATGAGCTGTCTTTTGAGCGCTGCAATTGATTTTCTCTGCTATGGTGACTGAAGATCCAGACAGTGTCATTGTTTCATTGAGACTGTACAGCAACACCAATAGCTCAGGAAATGGCAGCTTAGCAAATATCAGAAACATCAGTTTGAGTGATGTTCACTGAGGCAACTCATCCCCAGAAATCCAGCAGCCCGTACGTGCACACATTGCAGCACAGTATTTCTGCACAAGGTAGGACAAAATAGGCTAACACAACATCACCCTGTCTTTCAAGTATCTTTGGACAACTATCTGACCACCTAACCCTCATGCTGGTGGATTAGCAGTAATGCAGAACAGTCAAAGCTGCAAATGCATGCTGGGATCTGCAGGACAAAAGAGAGCCTCATGGTCTCATATTCTGACTGTAGAGGACCTGGGGAGTTAAGAAAACAACATGGGATTTGGAGGAGTCTCTGTGTCTGACAGCTTTATTTCACAGCTTGGCTAGGATGCCATCAGGCAACATTTCTTGTTGTCCCTCCCTTGTTCTCAGGGAACACAGATTTTGGAAAGAATTTGACCTTGGTCAAGGGAGTTCCCTGACTTCTACAGTAAGAAGAAATATCCTCAAACCTTCCACAAACCTGCTTCTACCTCACCATGTTTGAGGGCAGCAGCCTAGAAAGTAAACTATATGCAATTCAGAGATGCTGAATCAAGTCCTAAGCACTTTGAATACAATAAAATAATTTTTTAGAATTGAAAACAGTCTGGAGAGCAAGATTTCATGTAGGTGATGTAAGAATCTGCTGTCAAGATCCAGTTCTGTGTTCTGGTGGGTACTGACTGTCGCAGGGGGTGACCAGCCCACCCCTGCCCACCACAGCCAGTCTCCAAACAGGCTCTGTGTGCTCTGGTGTGTGTGCCAGGTCAGGGAGGAGGCACTTCTAGAGGTCGTGGACACTGCGTGCTCCACAACTGATGGGCATGTGGTGAGGCAACTACTCCAGCCACCTACTGTGGACATTATGCACCAGAGCTCCATTGTGATGGCAATGGTTTCATACTTTGTAAGATAGGAATTACTTTACGTACACTTGCCTATACTTGTGTGAAAGCTGTTGTGAAAGCATGATTTCAGTTTTACCTATTTTCTTTACTTCTTCATAGTTGAATAAGGTTTTACTTAACATCATGAATTCTAGCCAGCAAGAGCAACCCAGTCAGTCAGTTTCAGCGTTTCCTGGGTTGAATACCAGTATCAATAATACCTGAGCCAGAAAAGAACATCAAGTTTTGGCACCACGTTTCAATATGCGGTGTCAGTTCACAAGGGGTAACCCAATCAACAGCCTGATACAAAGGACAAGCCAGCAATTATCCAAAAGAACAGAGAATGATAAAGATGGATAGTCCCTCACTACATACAAGAATAAGAATGTCTGGCCTTGGCCTAGGAGGCCTGAAATTAATGCGTCATTCTTTTTCCTAGTCACCTTTTGCTCTTCTGTGGAAGAAAAACAAATTAAAGTAATAAGAATTAGAAAACTTACTTGGCTTGGAAGGCATTGTTGGTTCCCCTGTGGTCAAGGTCATGACATAAGCATCCCACAATCAAAGCTAAAATTTCAATTTCAGTCAGAATCTCCTGAAATCCTGCAGTCTGAGAGCAAGAAAAAAAAATAGCAGCTGTAACTATCAGTAACAAAAGGGATAAGTAATGTTAGTCCATCGAGCAACAGTCAACTTTGTTTTGATACCCTGAATGTATCAGTAAGGAGAAGATAAATGCTTTATTGTCATATTATATTCCCTGCTGTATGTTACATGGTTAGCAGAATAGATAACGTCCTTGGAGTGATCTGTTATTATCTCTGTGTTGCATTTCCAGCCTGCCATTTCTCCACTACCCAGAAGGCACTAAAGGCAAAAAGAGCTGAAAACAAACACCAATAACTACACACTAAGACAGGAACTGGAATTACATATCAGAGAAATACAAACCAAAATTGATTCCATTTTCAAATTATTGTTCAGAGAAGTACTTAGACAGATTTCCTGAATCCTGAGGTGACCATCTTAGTCAATCCCTACTGACAGAGATAGTCGAGATGTTAAATCAAAAGACCTATGAAAGAAGCCAGCTAAAATACACTCCATGGGACTGTTAGGAACTATGAAGAGATTTGTTATCTGGGACAGATGAAATGAAGCAGCATCATTTAAAGAGGAAACGTCTCAAATGGCGTATTTCTGCTGCAGATACCCACTTGAATTTGGGAGAGGATTTTGAAAACTGATGTATGGAAGCTTCCCATGAGCAGCTCAGATCAGATATGCCCATGTGAATGGGAGAGCTGATCCTAGAAACATTTTTTTTGCCACTACTTCTCCTCATGGATACTTGCCATAGCAGTTTTCCTGCCTGAACTGCCTCACGTCAGAAAAGAAATGCCACTGTTATTGCTAACCTCAAGCATCCTGAACAGATCCTGTCTGGACTGGTGCTGGGGCCTGTCGGGGACACCGCCTCTCTGGTGCCATGCACCTCACCCATTGGAGAAACAACCGGGTGCTTCAACTCTTCATGAGCATAAGGACATATTGCCTGCAAAAGTGACTGGCTGAGCTGGAAAATCGTAACACCTGTCTTTCTACAGTGCCAGTTTCCAATGACACTCCTCAATTAGCCACACAATCTAGTTAGTATGAAAGGAAATGATATAAAAGGAATATAAAATACATTTATATTGAAGAACCAAACCAAGGCTGAACACTGTTAGTGTGTAAGAAATCCTGAATTCCTTTGGTTTTCAACAGGCCATAATTTCATGCACTGGCAAGAAGAGGATTAATTGATACAAAGACAGCGAGTATCAGTGGGACTTGATGTCCTTTCCTGGTAGGAATTTGCAGCCCACTCAGAAATGCCAGCTAATTGCTGCACTACCACATGAAAAGTCTGTCATTCACCCTGAAGACCACAAATTCTACTTAAATAAACGCACATTCAAATCCAAGTATCCTCTGTTTTCATAGTCTGAAATGTGGCTGCAGTTAATATTAAGGCTGTACAGGGAACCAAGCTCCCCCAGGTGCTCAGGAATGCATTTCAGTGGCAGCTGAGGAAGTGCAGGACTTGCTTCAGAAGCTTTATAATTGTACTCAAAGTTTACATATCAGAAAAGGTGATCAAGTATCCTTAAATTCCTTTCATATAGAATCCACTGGTATACAGAGTAACTTGAATATTATGAAAAAGATTCTCCTGATTTCTAGTGGAGTTGTCCTTTTTAGTTTCAGTAACAGCTACCAAGGCAGAGGAAACTCTCTAAAAACTAGTGTTTTGTCTTTTTATTTTTTAAACATTGCTCTTACATAACAAATAATAATCAAGGTCTACTTTTAAAAAAAAGGATTAAAAAATAGGTTTGTAACTGACAACATGCCATGTGTCAAGTTTCAAGCTAAAGAAAATATTCATGGCTAAGTTAAAACAACTTAAAAAAGCAGTTTTATATTTTAAAATTGATGCTGTAGTAAATATTCTTTAACCTAATGCAAGCTTTGATTAAACTCAAGGATTCAACCTGCATTGCAAATGCAGGAAAGCTGATTAAGGAATTTATTAACAGTAGCAGTATCTCAAAATTAAACGCAACATTTTATTTAATCAAGATCCTTGTCATTGAATACATGAGAGAAATATGGCATATTTCACTCAGTAAAAAACATTTCATTTAAAACAATGTTACAGTAAGGGGATATCTGCTTTGAACATAATGCAGGAAAATACAGGATTGCATTTCCCCATTTTTTTAATTTACACAGAGAGAAAATATACATGGCTATAGACGACGGTGCAGCAAAATTTATTTTCACCAGAAAAGGAATGACCCATAACTCATGAGTGGCAGAGTCTCCAGTGAGTTATGGAGGTCATTCTTTCATATGAGGAAATGAATTGCATTCATTACACCTTGTCCCACATTTATATGTTTTGTTATTAGCACACCAGATTGGATTTTAATTTTGTATTGCTTACTTGTTCATTTTTATCTATTGAAATAAGTATCAATGTGAACTGCGTTAGTCAAAAGTGTTGATAATGAAGCCTGAGCTGGATCCTGCTGTTTGCTCTCGTGTGATGTCCCTAACTCACAGGGCAGTTGTGCTTCAGTGCTTGTCCTCAGAATATTTGGGCAAGTCTCAAATACAGAGGTATGGCTCGCAGGAGCCATAATTGTTCAATTGTTCATAATTGTTGCTTATAATTGTTCAACGTCTAACCGGAGAGAGAAAACACATATTTAGATATACAGGATCATACCTTAGATATGCAGAAGGCTGACCCACGAGTGAAACAACTGATTTGTTGGATTTCAGTTGTTTGGCTTGTTCAACCCAGCTGAATTTTCCTTCTGCATTCATTGGTCAGCATGGTCAGGCCATTAAAGGCTATCGCATTACAGATCAGACATTCCTACACTATGGTGAATCCTACCTGAAAACACCCTAAAATAGATCTATTGGTTTATATTTGTGATGCAGTCAATGCTGCTGATTGTCATGGAGAAATCAGGAACAGGGTGCAATAACTGCACAAAGCAGTGCCACCTTGGCCATCAGAGCCCCTCTCTGATGGTCAAAGAATTCTCCCCTTTTTGCAAGTGAAGAAACAAGGCACATACTAACTCCGATGGTTCCCTCAAGACAAATGCAGTAAGACCAAGCCTTGAGCTACTACTACTCTCTTGAGTCTTTCTTTTGAGTCTTTCTTCACAAGATCAGTCTTCCTATCTCTGGAAGGGAGAGCAGCCCAAGTGGATCATATGCCTGAACTTTGTTCTCAGCCAGAGCCACAGCCAAGTGGGGTGGGACGCGAGGCGAGTCCAGTGCTATGGGTACATGTGGCCAGCCTTGGAATTGCTCGTTTGGTTTCTTACCAGGAGTGTGGGCAATGAAGTGAGCTTGGCATGAAAACACCCTATCACCTCCCACAGACAGTTGCATCCCTGTGCTGACTGCTAAAAGGATCCTGAAATTATGCCTTGAGAACCACACTCAAAGCAGTTTATGGTTGAGACCTCGCAGGCTGGCTGCTGGCTGTTGAAGCAGCAGGGATCTGCTTTCTCCTTGCTGGCTGCCAGTGTAGTCACTGGTAGCTGAAATGGAGATACATGGTGGGAGAGAGCCTTTCCCACTGAGAGAACAGCCTGCCGAAAACCTGGCCTCGGAGCTCCACCTAGAGGTCCTCATGGGTGAGGTTTGAGGACTCCTCACTCCCTGCCAGCAACGGGCAGAAATTGGTGTAAATCCTAGCTGAATGGCGCTGCCTGACTTTGCCCTTACCCCTCAGAGTAAAAAGCTATTCGTTTTTCTATAACTGAAGGTGGGGG